GCAGTTCTCAGACCACTACTATGAGCTGGAGAAGAAACCACTGGTGTTTTATGCCAACCACGACATGATGCTGGAGGCAGCGCTGTGGAGGAGCCTGCACCGAGCAGGAATCATGACCCTCTACCAGCGGTGAGGCTGGCTAGTGGTCCATGGGGACAAGTCCAAGGACTTCTGCGGCTCTTCTCTTTCCTGAAGGCCACCTTCTCCCTCCCAAGGGCTCTCCCCAGCTGGCCAGCCTGCCCAAGGAGCAGACCCTCTGCACCACAGCTGGCAGAGGTGGTAGTAAGGGGCAAGCTGAAGCTGGATATGGAAATGCTGCATTTCCTTGGAGATCTCTGGCAATTTGTTTCATGGTTCAACATGATTGAATGTGGCCTTTGGGGCACCAAGAAGCACCATGGCATGTGGCTGTGACCTCCCAGCCCCAAGAACACAGCTGGGAAGCACAGGAGGGGCAGGGTGATGCTGGAAGAGGATGTTGGAGATGTGTACATGTGACACCCTCTGGCTGGGAGATGCCCTTCACCTTGCCATCACACTCCAGCTTAAATGTGTTGTCACTGTGGTGGAACCACAACAAGTATAATGAATTCTCGGACTGGAGGGACTGAACACTAGGTCATCCAGCTCACAGGAAGATGGTGAGTTTGGAGACCACCTCCTTCCCGGACTGCAGAAGGCCTGAGCTCCAGCCAGCTCTGAGTTGATGTGTGCCACTTTCCAGAAGGATCTGTTTGCCTTCGCGATGAGCGGCGAAGCCAGCGGCTGGGCTGCCCTCTCCTGTGACAGACACACACTGTGCCCTGTCATTTTCCCCTTGTCTAGATCATGTTTTCAAACAAGGGTCTTAAAAGCCATCAGCTGAGAGCGGGGATACTGCAGCTCAGCTGGGACATCAGGAATGTGGCTGGCCTTTGAGCAGCCTGGAGATGAGAGCTGGCCGGCAGCGGTAGTGGGTTTGTTGGGGTTCTTGCACGAGGACCATGTGGTGCCCTAAGTGTTTTGAGAAGGAAGCCTCATGCCAGGTGGCTTAGGGAACCTTCTAGCTCGTTGGGTGAGTTTCAGTGATGGTCACACTTTTAATTCTTTTTCCTCCCCCTCAAAAAAAACCGAGGGAGGTGAAGGTCTGGAACCCTTCAGCCATCCCGTGTAAGCCAGCGCTGACAAGACCTGCTGGCCAGGTAACTCCAGCTGGTGGTGGCCAGAGGGTTGATAGGACACAGCAGTGGGAGCGGTGTAAGCTGAGACACTTTCCCACTTTGTGTAATTACATAAATGTTGAATGATTGTTTTCTTTTATGCCTGTGAATGAGGTGTGGGGGGGGAAGAGCCTCCAACCAGGGAACGGCCCCACAGTGGAGACCTGGGCTGGCAGGGAGGCTCGGGCGGATCTGTGGGAGCAGCTTTTCCACTCGGGATGCTGTTTGCTGGATGGCAGCTGGGGAGGAGCGGGCTGACAGCAGAGATGGTGAGAGAGAGCCTGGCTGTCAGCCAGGGAACCTCAAAACCCCCTCAAGCTCCCAGCTTTTGGCCAGTTCAAACAAGCACTTGGGACCATTAGCCTATAAGCCTGTTTCTGATGTAATCTCGAGCTTGGAGCCCATCTTGTGTTCCCAGGTCTCAAATTAACCTTTGTTTGCATCAGAGCCACCTTACAATGGTACCAAGGCAGCCTGTTAGGCCTGTTTTTTATTCAGAACCACTCAGCAAAACCATTTCTATGGCAAGAACGAGCCTGATCCTCACATCACCTGACTAGGATGGCATCAAAACCTCCTTGAACCAGCTCTGGCCAAGGCTCAGGTGACTCTGAACATGGCAATCAGCAGCACCCTGACGTGCACTGCACAAAAAGAACAGGTTTTAAAAACACGTGCTGTCATGGTGCAGCATCCTGCCAGGAATCACGTCCAGCTCTCAGAGGCAGAGCTGTCTGTGCAGATCAGGAACTGCTGCACACACGCTCCCTTCCCACCTCAAAAAGGGAGGTTTCTGGCCGGGGGTGTAGCCGAGCCCTGGAGTTAAACACTTACACTGAAGATTTCACATGGCAGGAGGACCTGGTTTTGCTAGGAAGGGTAAGCTCACAACTGCTTGAATTTCAGAAAGTGTTTTAAACCAATATCCTTTCTACCTGCTCCAAACCATTTCTGTTTAAGTAGATAACCTTTAAAAAAAAACCAACCCCAAAACAACACAACAAACCCACAAAACAACAAACAAACAAACAAACCAACTTCAACTCCCAGGATTTTCCATAACTTATTTTATTGTGAAACAGAAGACAGCAGGGAACCACTTTTTTTCTCCAGCCAGCTGCAGCTCAGGTCCTAGTAGAAAAAAACCACAATGTCAGAGCAAAGCAACTGTCAGCTGAAAAGCTCCTGATGTGCACGATTTATTCATGAGTGCAGGTCTCAGGATACAAAAACCTGCTCCCACCCAAGCCAATGGCAGTAGCACCAAATTCTCTTTGGCTTTACTGCAAACTTACCAATGATGTGGGATGAATGTGGGAGCAGCGAGGAGGAGCCTGAGGTTACCCACAGGTGCCCATTTTACACCCTTTCAAATGACGCATCAGTGGCCATTTGCAGATCCCACTCCAATCAATCTCCTGGAGCTGGGAGGCACCACAAAGCAATGCTTTAACAGCTTTCCTCAACAAGTCTGCTCTGAAACAATTCCTGCCCCGCTCTATTCTCAAAAGCACTGAGTAGTTTTTACTTTTCCTATTTATCACCAGGCTGCCTCCTCACTTTTTCCCCTTACTCCTCGGAAGCCAAAAGCCTCAGGTGCTCTTCCCAGAACTACTCAGAACACAGTTGTACTGACAGAGCAGCCACTCTGACTGCTGCTCTGTAGTACCATCCTCTCCCCTTCAGCACACCAACCTGGCTTTCTGAAGTCCAACGTTGCCAAGTTTGCAGATTCAGCCTGTCAGTGAGTGTTACTGATCTTCTGCAAATAAATACAAATTCTGTTAAATAAAGCATAACGCTATTTAGCAGAATGCAGCTGTCAGCTACCTGAAGACAAAGTGCTGTTAGAATGTGTGTGTTCAGTGACTGTACATCAGGTGAGATAAAAATGCATTTCTTATCTGCCCTTCAACCTGCCACTGTGCCCCACTCTTTGGACAGGAAACTTCAAAGCTCTTCACAGACCTAAACTGTCGGATGACAAGAGCAGGCAGCACTCACAGTCCCTGCGCTGAGCTCTGGAGAGCTGGCTGCTGAACAGCCTGGGCGATGGGACAGTGTGGCTGCTGCAGTGGCACATCACAGGGGCAGGAGGAAAGGGGACAGAGGCTGCTGGTGCCCTACTGGTGCCACTGGTGTCATCTGAGTGTTTGCAAGGGTAGGAGACCCGCGGGGGGGAAATACGTAAGCCTCAGTGGACAATTTTCTCCCTCACAGCTGAGTTGTCAGACAGGGATAACAGCACATCACAGGCTCAGTTCCTCTCCTGCCCTTGGCTATAGAAACTCCTCAAGTTGTCCAGAATTACATACAGCCAAGACATCCAGACACTGACATGCCAATGACCGGTGTTCTTCCTGATGACTAGTATTTTTCCTGGTAAGCCTTCAAAGACGAGGTATTCCGCTCATTAGATGAGTCATGCCGCCTACAGATCTGCCATACAATTAATAAATTCAAAACCAGCAGTGTGCAATACTCAAGAATTCTCTTACCAGGCTGAAGCCCAACTTAGCAGCTGCCCTCTTGCCAAAGCTGTCTTCGGGAGATGGCACAACCCCCGGATTCAGCAGGACAACTTCCTCCTAAATACAAGTTGCATCGAACACCGTTAGCAACCATCCTTCAAATTGTCTGTCTGCTCGTTTCTTGTCCTCCCCTTCTGACAAAAACCAGCACTGGGTCACAGAGCAAGAATTAAAGAGAGGAAGCTTTCCTCTCAGAGAGAAGCAATTTTTGTCGCACAAACTTAGTGGAAAGAGACAAAAGAATGTGTTTGCCAGTAAGTTGTCTCACTCAGAGAAAAGAAACTTTGGGAGGTGGATGCTATTTAAATCCTTGCTTAGGAAAAAACCAAACCTGCCAGCTCTGAGACTTTGGTGGTTTAGACTCTTTTTTTAGCTGTTTCAAGCAGACATCCTCCTCCTCATCATCATAAAGAAACATCTTAATGCAACTCTCTTCTTGCACACAAGAATAATCCATTCATCCATGATGTAAACTGTCTATGGGTTTATCTTGAGAAATGCATTCAAGCAGAGCTAAGAAAGAAACATCCCTTCTGGGGAGGATTTTTCAGGGTGTTGTGTCCTTCCTAGGATGACCTTTTGGTGTACATGAACTGCACCTCCTCGCCCCCAGCAACCTGATGCAGGTTTGAAACTGTCCCAGCGCACCTCCAGGTAAGCACACAGACCAATTACTCTTTCACTACGTCTATTTCTGTGACAAATACAGTTATGAGATGAGCTGTGTCAAATGTCTCCATAATGGGCTGTCTGTCATCCAATCCCTCCTACGTCTAATCCCTTCTGCTCTTGCTCATCTCTGCCCATGCTGACAAGCAGCTGCTCTACTGGGCACCTGCAACAGTAAAATTCCCCTTCGTTCCGTGCTGCTTTTCAACTTGTGCTCCATGGCAGCAAAGGGCTGAGCACTCAGGTGGCAGCTGCAACAAAGCTACAGCCTTGATTGGCTTAATTACATTAATCAAGCCATTGGGCTTTTATATCTCCTCCCAGTAGCCCCAGAAGGCCATCATCTGACACAGTAGAATGAGTTCTACTTCCATAGTCCAGCAGCAGAAGAAAACTAGACTATGACAAGGCAGATGCTGATGTTTCTCACCATCGTGCAGGTTCACTGTCAGTCCAGTGAAGGAATCAGCTTCCCAGGCAGGTGAGTGCAAAAGGTGTTTTTATCCTTGCTTGGTGCCACGCTGTGCTCTGAAACAGAGAAAGGGGACAGAGAGTTATTTCATGGAATACACCATTTTTTTTTACCTTTGTGTCTTTAATGCTGAGCCTCAGATTCATGCTTCCACAGAGGAAAGGTTAATTTCAGACAGGGATAACTTTTATCATCACTAGCTCAGCTTCCACAGCCACCAAAACCCAGACCACATAGGGTCATCCCAAGAACTCATGCCTGTTCTTGGCTGTATGGTTAATGTGCTCCTTGCCCAGGTGGCAACAACCCCAGGTGGGTCTGACTCACTCCACTGACCTCCTTCTGCCTGGGTACTCAGCAGATGTGATGGGTAAGGTGGGCTCAGCCCACTACACCTTGCTGCTTGTTTGAAGAGAAGCCCCTGATACTGTACTGAGGGCAACGCTTACGTTGAGCTACAGCAGCTGCTGTATTAAATGCTCCCCCACAGGCAAGAATCGGTACAAGTGTAGTTAAAAAGCACAGTCCACGAGCTGGTGGACAACAGGCTGACCATGAACCAACATTTCTTCATGGCCAAGAAGGCAAATGGCATCCTGGGATGCATACAGAGGAGTGTGGCCAGCAAGTCAAGGGAGGTTCTCCTCCTCTATTCTGCCCTGGTGATGCCACATCTGGAATACTGTGTCCAGTTCTGGGCTCCACAGTTCAAGGAACTACTTGAGAAAGTCCAGCACAGGGCCACTAAGATGA